CACTGCACTCCAGTCTGGGCAACAGTGAGACTCCAACTCAAAAAAAAAAAAAAAATAGAGAAATTTGTTTGTGCAAAGGCTTGGAGGTATAGAGAAAATCTAAGAGAAATATAACGTGGTTAGAATGTGAGGTTGAGGGAGGTGGGAGGAGCATTTGTGATAAATGTAGTTATATCTTTGAGAAGCTTATGATTGGATATGAAGGCAACTAAAACATACCAACCTAAAATAAATACGGTGTTTAATCACTCCATTTATGCAGTTTTTCTTTTCTTTTCTTTTTCTCAGTCTCCTATTCTTCCTTATGTAGATCCTTTGTATTTATGCAGTTTTTCAAAGCCAATTTCAAGTGTTTCTCTGCGAAACTTCCCAAACCTTCTTTAAGCTAAAAGATATAACTCCCTCTAAATTCAGTCCGTCTTGTCTCTGTTATGCTGTTGGCAGTCAATCAAACTCTTGTCATCCTCTCTTTTTCCAAAAATCTAATTTTTGAACCATTAATTATTTTAGTTTTCATGATTTTTTTGCTTTTTGGGTTTTTTTTGAGTCAGTGTCTCCAGGCTGGAGTGCTGGGCTTAGGCAATCCTTCTGCCTCAGCCTTCTGAGTAGCTAACCACGCCTGGCTAATTTTTATTGACTTATTTTAGGGATGAGGTCTCACCAAGTTACCCAGGCTGGTCTCAAATCCCTGGACTCAGGCATTCCTCTCACCTCCGCCTCCCAAAGTGCTGGGATTACAGGTGTGAGCCATCTCACCCGGCCAGTGTTTATGATTTATCTCTTCAAATATGTAGGAAGCATTCTGAACCTTGAACGTATTGAATATTGTATATAATAAAAGCTTAGTAAGTAGGAGTATATTTAGTTAGGAAGTAATAGAATAAAACAATGAGAAAGTCTAGTTCTGTTTTGTTTGTTTGTTTGTTTTGTTTTGTTTTTGAGTTGGAGTCTCACTCTGTCGCCCAGACTGGAGTGCAGTGGCCACTCCCAGCCATCGCAGCTCGACCTGCTGGGCTCCGGCAATCCTTCCGCCTCAGCCTTCCAAGTAGCTGGAATTACAGGTGCGCGCTACCACGCCCAGCTAATTTTTTGATTTGTTGTAGAGATGAGGTGTCACCAAGTTGCCCAGGCGAGTATCAAACCCTCAGGCTCAGGCAATACACTCACCTCAGCCTCCCAAGGCACGGATTACAGGCTGAGCCACCGAGCCTAGCTGAGAAAGTCTAGTTCTAATCTTTTATCTAGCTAAGGTTTTCTTCTTTGTCAGATGACAGGATTTACTCTTCTCAATGGGCATGGGGCTTGGAGGGTTGAATTCACTTTTCAAACTAAGCACACCATCTAGAGCTGCATTTTCTTTGAGGGCCTTAACTGTCACTAGCCCCGCTTGAGTGGCAAGGTGTTAAATGAGAGCCACTCTTATTAAATGGAGTATGATGCACAATAAAAAGAAATGATGGTAAGATTTTACATGGGTAGTGGGATGGGCCGTTGACTTTTGAGTTTATTGTAATTGATTGACTTCTGCACTTAATGGTATGCTGCGTTTGACCCCTTATCTATGAATAAAAATGACAGTTCAGAATAACTCAGTGAAGAAGGAGGTATACATAGTTATTGTGGTTAAAGTGAAATTGAATTTGTTGTTGTCTCATTATAATGAAAGGGCTATTAACTTCTGTGAGATATGACTGAAAAGGAATAAAGGAGCCTTGCTCCCTATGATAATGGAAATGAATCTTTTTTTCCCTGTCCCCTTATTTATGTACCACGTATCTTGCCTTTTGGGGTTGCCAATTAAAGGAATAACATTATAAAAAGGAAGAGAATTTTAAGGGGCACCCTGGGAAATGAAATGTAAAGGAAGGCAGATCTGAAGCTTAGAAGGTAATCATTAAGAAGGCTCTGGAGGTAGTTCAGTTTGTGCTGCAATGATGTTAAAAATGATAGTCCTAGCTCATAATAAATAAAAATAAATAAAATGCTTGAAGGAAGCATTTCTAGCAACATTATTTAAAATAAAAACCTTTGTTCTTAAAAGGAATAAATAATGAGTTAAGTAGAAATTTTGTCTATTCAGAATAACTATAATTTTTTCCCCAAAGGCAAACGCCATTAATAACAGAGATTAGTGTAATAGAGTGGAAACTGTTCAAAGGTGAGAATTAAAGCCAGGTACCACATTGGAGTAAATAAATCAGCAGTTGAAAGCAATAAAGGCTGCACTAAAATACACTTAAAATTGCTTAGTAGGATTTTCAGCATGATACTGAAGGGGCAATAGTAACTATCAGTTTGGCTTAAGTATCTTAAAGTTGTCAAGTTAAAGTTGATTAGGGTTGATGAAAGCCAGAAAATTAACAGCTGCTATTTTAAAAGTAATTTCATTTTTTTTTTAAATTTCACTGTTTTTAATAATGTGCTAAAAACGAATTGGTGGTATGGGAGAAACAACAAAATAATATATGCAGCTCTCCCTAAACATGGCTATAGATTAAAATAGTTAATTTATAAAAATATTTTTTAAAGTTTATGGATAACATGTACCTGGTTTTTTATGGAAATTAGGAATATCTTAAGTACTTCCAGATATTTAGTAATGTTCTAGATGCTTTTAATTACAGAGCCTTATAGAAATTCTCTTTCAGGAAGATTCTTCAAGCAATCACTATGTCAACTGATACAGATGTTTCCCTTTCTTCATATGATGAAGATCAGGGATCCAAACTTATTCGAAAAGCTAAAGAGGCACCATTTGTCCCCATTGGTAAGTTTGACTCTGATGTTCTAATCAATCTATTGTAAGCTTGAATATAATAAAAAGAACTTGGCGAGACTTTGTCTCCACAATAAATAAGAAAATTAGCTGGGTGTGGTAGCACATGCCTGTAGTTCTGGCTGCTTGGAAGGCTGAAGCGTAAGGATCGACCGCTGGGATGGCTGTGAGCGTGCCATCCAGCCTGGGCGACAGAGTGAGACTTCAACTAAAAACAAAAAAAAAAGAAAAAGAAAATAAACTTGTTCATTGAGCATATCCTGAAAAAATTTATTTTCAATTTTTTTTTCAAATGTTGAAATATGCTTAAATTGGCATGATAAAAATGTCATCACAGGCCAGGTTGGTGGCTGCCACCTGTAATCCTAGCAGTTTGAGAGACCGAGGTGGGAGAATTGCTTACACCCAGGAATTCAAGACCAGCCTAGGCAACATAGTGAGACCTCATCTCTACAAAAAAAAATCAAAAAAATTGAGGCATGGTGGCACACACCTGTAGTCCCAGCTACGCGGGAGGCTGAGGCAGAATGATCACCTGAGCTCAGGAGGTCTAGGCTGAGGTGAGCCATGATCATGCCACTGCACTCCAGCCTGGATGACAGAGTGAGATCCCAACTCCAAAAAAAATAGCATCACAAAAATTTTCGGTATGTATTCAGACTTATTGACTCTTATTTCAGTGAATAATGTTGTGTCAGGGGACCCCAGACCACCCTCAAGTTCAATGATTGACCAAGACTCACAAGACTCAGAAAAGCTTTATAGTCGTAGCTATGGTTTATTACAGTAAAAGGAGATAGTTTTAAATCAACAAAGGTATATGGGATGAAGTCCAGGAGAAACCAAAGCACAGGATTCCAGGTATCCCCTTCCAGGGAAGTTGTGTGTGAGAAGGAAGGAGAGGAACACTTAATTCTTCCAGTAATGATGTTATGTGTGGCAGCACAAAGTTCCACCATCCAGGGAAGTCCACCAATCCTTGGTGTCCAGATTTTCTTAGAGATCAGTCTCTAGACCCCCAGAGGTCAGACTATTACAGTGTAGCCCAGGGCTGCAGGCATACTAAAATTCATTGAATATACACTGAAAATGGGAGAAAGGTGAAATCTATAGTAATGTAAGTTATAGCTTAAGAAAAGGCTAAAAAAATTTTAATTGTATAAAGAATTTAAAAATTACCATTAATCCCAACATTTAGATAAACTATTGTTACCATTTTGATGTGTGTATTTCTTGCAATTTTTTCTTTACCTTTACAAAGTCAGGATCATACTGAGATGCCTATGTATAATTTTAATCTTGTGTTTTCAGCCATATTATTTAAAACCTAACTTTTTTTTTCTTTGAGTTAGAGTCTCACTCTGTCGCCCAGACTGGAGTGCAGTGGCATGCTCCCAGCCACCACAGCCTCGACCTGCTGGGCTCCAGCGGTCCTTCCGCCTCAGCCTTCCAAGTAGCTGGAACTACAGGCGTGCGCTATCACACCCAGCTAGTTTTTTGATTTATTGTAGAGATGAGGTCTCGCCAAGTTGCCCAGGCGGGTCTCGAACCTGCGGGCTCAGGCAATCCACTCACCTCAGCCTCCCAAAGCACGGGATTACGGGCTGAGCCACTGAGCCCAGCTTAAAACATAACTTTTAATGGTGAGCTTTTTCCATTCTCTAGATATACAATTATTTCTATAATATACATTATTACTATTATATATCAGCTTTATGTTATTTTATATATATTATTCTATATATCATATATCTTTATATACATATATATATATTTTTTTTTTTTTTTGAGTTGGAGTCTCACTCTGTTACCCTGACTGGAGTGCAGTGGCATGCTAACAACCACTGTAGCCTCAACCTGCTGTACTCAGGTGATCCTTCCGCCTCAGCCTTCCGAATAGCTGGAACTACAGGCGCACTACCATGCCCAGCTTATTTTTTTATTTATTGTAGAGACAAGGTTTCACCAAGTTGTCTAAGCTGGTATTGAACCCCTGAGCTCAGGCAATCCTCCCACCTTGGCCTCTCAAAGTGCTGGGATTACAGGCTTGAGCCACCACCCTCAGCCAATTATTATTTCTAATACAATTTTTAATGAAATATTTTTCTTTATCCAGGTATCTTCATTATCTTTTCATGTCAGTGCATATAGAAGTATTTTTGTATCTTTAATAGTTGAATCATTAATTTTATAGATATTCAGTGTTTTATAACAGTAGTCTATAAAATTTTTTGATTGTACATCTCTTCAGTGAAAAATAATTTAAGCTTGTACTGCCAGTGTGTTTGTGTGTATGTGTTTACTGATTTCAAAATAATATATAGGTAATTTTATTCTTACATATTTGGTATATTATGAAACATGCTGAAAGATATTTTTAAAGGATGACAGAAAATACAAAATTTTCTTTCGTATGTCTTAGTGGGTTGTCATTTACATACATCCTGTCTTAGGTATTACATAAATACTACATTTATTTAACCATCACCCTACTGATGGACATTAGAATTGTTCCTATTATGTTGCTTTTATAAACTGTTGCAAAAAAGTATGTGTGTGTAAAAACTAAATACCATTTTATACTTAATTGTACCAAAACAATTATTTGCATTAATAGGCTGTGATGAGCAGGTTTTTTCCATATTCTCAATAGCACTAGGTTTATCATTCTTTTCAATTTTTGTCAATTTTATAGATATAAAATACTTTGTTTAATTTCATATGTGATTATTGGTTGAGGTTGAGCATCTTTTCATGTTTATTGTCCATTCAGGCTTCCTCCTCTATGAATTCTCTTGTTTTTATTTTCTTTTGTTTTTTAACTAGGTTGTCTTTTTCTAATTAAATTATAATTACTATGTATTTTGGATTTTAATGTTTTCTTATTTGTTGCAATGACTTCATGACTCCAGAATTATTTAGGTTCCTATATTATGTTGCTGTTTTATCATTGTGATACTAATTCGTCTAGAATTTACTTGTGAGTATAATATGAGGTGAAATACAAGTTATTCTTTTTCAATGTAGACAGCTAATTTTCCAACATAGTATTTTGTATACAAGGGGGCACCCCCAAAAAACAGAATTATCTTTTTGGAGGGCAGGCCCCTTGTACAGGTTGTTCCCACTTAATAGGTGTTCTAGCACCCAATTGGCACCAGTGTACCAGCTAGCTTTGTTGTGAGACACTGTGTTCAGCTTCAGTGAGTTTTTTGGAGATTCTTTCAGCATGTGTGCCCATTTCGCGATGGGTGATTTACAAGTGCACCTGCCTACACTACTGTGAGTATTTAGCTGTTTTTGACCAAAAAACGGCATGAACCCTGTGTCCCACCCTCTCTATTCATGTGATCTCGCCCCAAGTGACATTTTTTTTTTGTTTCCCCAATGGAAAAAAGTCCTTAAAGAGAAACTTGTTGACAATATGGAAGAAGTGAAACAAAAACGGCAGGCCGGGATCGGTGGCTCAGCCTGTAATCCCAGCACTTTCGGAGGCCGAGGCGAGTGGATTGCCTGAGCCTGCAGGTTCGAGACCCACCCGGGCAACGTGGCGAGACTTCCTCTCTACAATAAATCAAAAATTAGCTGGGTGTGGTAGCGCGCACCTGTAGTACCGGCTACTTGGAAGGCTGAGGCGGAAGGATCGCCAAGCCCAGCAAGCAAGTCGAGGCTGTGGTGGCCGGAAGCGTGCCACTGCCACTCGAGTCTGGGCGACAGACTGAGACTCCAATTCAATTTAAAAAAAAAACACGGCAGAAGCATGAAAAGGCATCAAAATTGACAAGTTCAAGAATTGTTAGCCGGGCTTGGTGGCTCAGCCTGTAATCCCGCACCTTTGGGATGCTGAGGTGAGTGGATTGCCTGAGCCTGCGGGTTCGAGACCCGCCTGGGCAAGGAGACCCATCTCTACAATTAAAAAAAAAAAAAAAAATCAGCCGGGTGTGGTAGCGCATGCCTGTAATTCCGACTACTTGGAAGGCTGAGGCGGAAGGATCGCCGGAGCCCAGCAGGTCGAGGCTGTGGTGGCCGGGAGCAGCCACTGCACTCCAGCCTGGGCGACAGAGTGAGACTCCAACTCAAAAAAAAAAAAAAGAGAATTGTTTTGAGCATGGAAAAAGTGACTTGACAGGTGTATTGCATCAGAGTACACTGAAGGTGACTGAAGTTTAAACATGTAAGAAAAATTACATAATTTTTTATAAATAAATTCTGGGATTTTTTGCATTCCCCTCTCATACACATTTTGCATTCTTTTCCCATTGATTTGAAATGTCTGTGCCATATGCTAAACATTCACACAAGAGATCTGTTACTCAGCTACTGCACCTGTTTTGTGCTTTGTTCTGTTCCTCTATCTACCAGAAACTTAATGGTATGTTTAGATACCTCATAAGCCAGTACACTTTCTTTATTCTACCTTCTGGAAAAGAGCTTACCCGTTTACTTTGAAATTGGCCTTTAGGACTATAGTGTGCGATGATCACACTTGTGAATAGCCATTGCACTCCAACCCAGGCAACATAGCAAGACCCTGTCTCAAAAAAAAAAAAAAAGAAAGAAAATATAGTTTTATAGTCGATAAGCTAGTAGTTGATTTAGAAATTTTATATCTATGTTCATAATTTATATTGCTGTATAATTCTTTTCTTGTGTTATCTTAATTTTGATTGCTAAGTTTTGGTTGTATGGTATGTAGTCAGAAATCAGTCTTTTATTATAAAATGTCTGTGTGTATGGTATAGTCAGTGCTCTTTACCTAGAATTCTATTTTGATATTAATTAGTATTACCACTCCTGCTTTCTCTTTATTTGCATTGCCTAGTCTTATCTTTGCCTACCCTTATATTTTTAACTCTTTAGTGTTATTTTAGTTTTATGTCCTGTACAAAGCATATATTCAGGTTTTCTTTTTTTAACCTAGTAGAGGATGTTAACCTATATTGATATTTATTGCAAAAACTCTTAGTTTTATTTCTACTATTTACTTGATATTTTCTATTTGTTATACTTTCTAATTTTTACTTTTAAAAAATTTTTTCTTCTAATGATTTGGAAGTTCTGCAACTGTTCCTATACTGCTAGTGGTTATCTTTTCATTGTCAACCAGGATATAGTATTTTAAGTACTAAAATGAATATAAATTCATTTCCTAATTCAAAAGATAAGACCTTTAACACATTTTGTTGTAATAATCATAGCCTTAGTTCCAGATTCTTAATTTTTATTATTAAATTTTCTACATTATACCTAGTCATTTTCAAAGAATCAACATAGATTTTACTAGCTTTATTGCTTGCCATTTTATTTCACCCATTGTGTCTTTATTTCTTGGACTGTCTGTTTTGAGTCACTGTTTTTATTGACTGATTACTTCTTTTAGGTTTTATAATTAACAGGTGGCAGCCTGGGCAACGTAGCAAGACTCTGTCTCAATCAAAAAATTTTTAAAAATTAGCCAGATATAGGAGTATGCCAGGAGCTTGAGGTTAGAGTGAGCTATGATTGCACTACTGTGCTCTAGCCTGGGAAACAGGCAAGACTCTGTCTCTAAAAACAAACTAAAACAAAAGTACATGGATGATATACTTTGAAAACAAGCTAGGTCTTGGGGCTTGTGACTGTAATCTCAGTTTCACCTGAGGCTGAGGCATTTAAATGAGGATCATTTAAAACCAGGTGTTTGAGACCAGCCTGAGCAACAGAGTAAGATCCTGTCTCTAAATAAAATTTTAAAAATCTATCTGGATGTGGGGGCCTGCACCTGTAGTTCCAGCTATTAAGGAGATTGAGATAGGAGGATTACTTGAGCCCAGGAGTTTGAGACTGCCGTGAGCTATGATTGTGCCACTGCACTCTAGCCTGGGCAACTCAGTGAGACCCTGTCTCTAGAAAAATAAAATAAAATAATAAGTTAAAAAAAAAAACATGCAGCCGGGCTTGGTGGCTCAGCCTGTAATCCCGCGCTTTGGAAGACTGAGGTGAGTAGATTGCCTGAGCCCGCGGGTTCGAGACCCGCCTGGGCAACTTGGTGAGACCGCATCTCTACAATAAATCAAAAAATTAGCCAGGCGTGGTAGCGCGCGCCTGTAGTTCCAGCTACCTGGAAGTCTGAGGCGGAAGGATCGCTGTAGCCCAGCAGATCGAGGCTGCGGTAGCCAGGAGCAGCCACTGCACTCCAGTCTGGGTGACAGAGTGAGACTCCAACTCAAAAAAAAAACAAAAAAACAAACAAAAACATGCAAGGTCACATTCTGACTCCTTTTGTCCTCAAAATCAATGAGAGTTTGGCTCTATAAAGAATTCTAAGGTCGTAATCCTTTTAACTCCAACTAATGTTGCTCCATTGCTTTCTCCTATGTAGTGCTTTACTTATGATCTTCCCAGTACAGTATCTCAGTTTGAAGTATTCAGGTGAGATGTTTCTCAGTGATAGTAATGTGTAGGACTCTCTTTGCTATATGAATTGATTACCTTTAAAAAGGGAAGTAAGGCAGAGAGAAAGCGTTATAAATTTATTCCCTAACTCAAGATCGTACTTGTTTTGTTGTAATAATCATAATCTTATTTCTCTAACACTCTTAAAGGAATTTATTTCAAAAGTTAATACTGACTTTCTGGATCTGCTACTATTTGCTTAAAGACTTTTTGGTTCTGAGGAAAAAAATGAAAAACTCAGTTTGTATGTTAGCTAATTAATGGTCTGATAAAGCAACCTTTAAAGATAATAGACAATACATTGATTGATGATAAAAAACATCCTGCTTACCTCTTCCCCCCCCCAACATCTGGCATACCTCTGACTTTGTTTTACAGGAATGGCAGGTTTTGCAGCAATTGTTGCATATGGATTATACAAATTGAAGAACAGGGGAAATACCAAAATGTCTCTTCACCTGATCCACATGCGAGTGGCAGCCCAAGGCTTTGTTGTAGGAGCAATGACTGTTGGTAAGTTCCTACAGGAAATTTTCAAATTTTGGTTTCCCATTAAGGCATTTCATTACAAACAAAATAAGATACATGCTTTTAGCTGATGTTTAAACAGTTTGAAAATATCATTCATATTCATTTTCATGTAAAAATTGTATTAATAAAAATAATCAAGTAGTGACATACGTTTACTGTCTATGATATATTGTACTAAAGTTTTAAAGAAAGAAAGAAAAAGTAATCCTATCACTGAATTTATACTTCTCATTGAAGAGTCTAGACATGCAAATGGGGTTGGTAGTAACATACATTATCTGGGACAGACATTTGATAGTTATTTTATAGAGTTTTTGAAAGATTTTTTCAAGTATAGATGTTATGTGCTTCTACTGGAATTATACTTCATTTACTTCTTCTGGTATTATGTAACTTTTAAGGTTACCAGATAAATATTGATTTTTTAAAAAAAGTAATATTATAATGTTGTGAATTAGTCATACACATTAGCTACTGAGAAAACTATATAGAAAGAGTTTTAGAAATTTAAGTTGTTGAGACCCGCCTGGGCAACTTGGCGAGACCTCATCTCTACAATAAATCAAAAAAATTAGCTGGGCGTGGTAGCGTGCACCTGTAGTTCCAGCTACTTGAAAGGCTGAGGCGGAAAAATCGCCGGAGCCCAGCAGGTCGAGGCTGCGGTAGCCGGGAACATGCCACTGCACTTCAGTCTGGGTGACACAGTGAGACTCCAACTCAAAAAAAAAGAAATTTAAGTTGTTTAAGAAGTCAAGAGTCTAAACTTCCTGGTGTCTTGTTCCCCTTGTAAATAAGTATTACATGCTAGCAATGGTGCTACTTTCAGCTATTTTATGCACAGGTTTTAATTTTTTGAATACTTAAGAAAATATTTAAATGCTTAACTAGCATTCTTTTTCTTTAGGTATGGGCTATTCCATGTATCGAGAATTCTGGGCAAAACCTAAACCTTAGAAGAAGAGATGCTGTTTTGGTCTTGTTGAAGGAGCTTGCTGTAGTTATAGACATATCATTATTGGGGTTACATGTTTAGGTTGAAAATAAATTATTTGAATGGGTTCAGACAGTAACATAGTATTTTGAATATTGGCCTGCAAGAAAGGAACTAGGTTACTGGGGAGTAAAATTAACACAAAAGA